CAAACACCTGGCTTCTCGAAAACTTCCGAGGATCTCCTCAAGGTGGTCCAGCTCGACAACAAGGTGGCGGTCGCCTCAGAGACGGAGGTCAGGGATCGCCTCCACTCGTTCTTTGTGGCGCTCGAGTACCTCAACATCTGCGAGTTCACCTTCGACTCCGGTCCCCTCAAGTACCTCTCGGAGCTCGAGGAGTGGCGCCACGAGAATCGTGGTCTCGCAGTTCTTCTCGCCGCTGATTCCTTGATCAGGAAGAAGGTCTACAAGCTCAACAACGGCAAGCGCAAGGACTTTCCTACGTTCTCTGAGGCTCTCTGCGAGGTCCTCAAGAACTACAAGCAGCTCTGGAACGACGCTCGTTCAACAGCTGAACTTGAAAAGTTCCGCCAGGTCGAGCACGAGTTCGCTACTCCTCCGAAGCGGCCTCGCTCGAGGTCCCCTCCGCCGACACCTCCGAAGAACGAGGCCAAGACTCGCAAGAATCGAGCTCGTCGGCAGAAGGAAAAGGAGTTGCTCAAGCAAGCTCGCGCAGAGCGCGATCGCGCTCGTGACCACTCTAAGCCGAACAAGCCTTCAGTGCCTAAGCTCACAGAGAAGGACAAGGTCGATCGCGACACCCGGGTTCCGGAGAAGGAGTGGAAGAAGATCATGTCTTTCTCTTATACTGGGGCTCGCCGCTGCCCATGGTTCAACTGCTCGCTCGGCTGTCGGTTTGGGGATCAATGCAAGAACAAGCATATCTGCGTGCAGTGCGGGGGTGATCACCCCTACCATGGCAATCACTGAGCTCTCGTGCCACCGCCGGGGGAGTTTGGTCGTCTCCCTCCGGCACCGGTGCTCGACAGACCACCGGGGGAGTTCTCTCCCCCCCCACTGCAGCAGCCGCCGGCTCTGGCTGCTAATGAGGTTTCTTCTCAGAGACTGACAGCTGCCCCTGCAGGTCGGCCGCCACCGTGGCTTCGTTGGGCTGAGGTGCCCCGGGATCCCGACGCAATTCGTGAGCTCGGTCCCTGGTGCCTCGAGATCTTTGCCGGATCTGCTGGCCTCACCGCTGCCTGGAAACGTCACGGTCTTAAGACTTTGCCGCCGATCGACAAGTGCACCTCCGAGTTCCTTCTGGAGTCGATCGACTTGCTGGACGCACAGGTCTTTGATTGGCTGTTCTTGCTGTGCCGCATGGGGGCGATCGTCTTTCTGCACTTGGGCATTCCTTGCGCCACGTTCAGCGTGGCTAGGGATCGGCCTGGAGGACCTCCCCCCCTGCGATCGCAGGCGCTCCCCCTTGGCCTCTACGTTCTCAAGAAGCACCATCAAGCACAGCTCTTCGAGGCCAATGAGCTCTTGTTCCGATCCCTTCTTCTTTTCGACGCAGTGGTTCAAGCTGGCGGAGATGCCTCGATCGAGAACCCGAAGGACAGTCTGATCTGGCAGGTCCCTCAGGTCCAGCAGCTCAAGGTTCGTCTTCACCTCTACAACGTCGATCTTGATCAGTGCGAGTATGGATCACCTCATCGCAAGCCTACTCGGCTTCTTGTCAGTCACGCTGCTCTTCTCGCTCTTGCACGTCCTTGTTCAGGTGGACATGTTCATGAGCCTCTTCGTGGCGTGACAAGGTCGGAGACTGGCAAGAAGATCTTCAAGACTAAAGCAGCTCAGGTCTACCCCTCGGCGCTTTGCACCGCGTGGGCGATCGCCGTGGCCGCGATCGTGCAGAAGTCGGCCCAGCAGTTCGCCGCTTCGTTTGCTCTCACGGCTCCGTCGGCAGAGCGCAAGCGATCTTTGGGATCCCAGATTGCTTGGAAAGGCCATCGCCAATCCGCTGCCGCTCGGCTGGCGGCGGCTAGCGGCTATCAGCTCAAACGAGGTGCCGCCAAGCCGCTGCTCGACGTCGAGTGCGAGCCAGGTCAGGCAATCCAGTGGTCTCTTCAGGTTCGGCACCCATTCACCGTGCAGCCGGCGCTCCCCGACAAGATCGTCGACAACATCAAGTTCATTGTCTCCTCCCCGCAGGCGCTCGTGGCTCGCCGTTCTGAGCGCCTTCAGTTCTGGCAACAGCGTGCCCTCACGCTGCTTCCAGAGACAGATCGGATTTTGCGGTCAATCGCCGACGCTCCTCTTCGTCGGCTTCTTCGCGGTGCTCCGGACTATGCTGATCTGCAGCTGGGCTCTTGCACTCACGTGGCGCTCTACGACGAGCTCTTCGCAGCGATCGGCTGCACGGATCATCAAATTCTCCAAGGCATTCGCGGTGGCTTCCCGATCGTTGGCGAAATCCAGCGCTCGGGGCGCTGGCCGCCGTTCACAAAGCCACAGCGGTCAGTGCCTGTTCAGGAAGCTCTGGATCGGGCCTGGGAGTTGCGAGCCAAGGTCTTTCGCAGATGCAGGTCGGTTCCCGTTTCTGACAATCTAAGGTCTCTTTGGAATGCCACGCTCGAGGACGTCAAGGAAGGCTCCACCTTGGGTCCTTTCGGATCCGAAGAGGAAGTCTCCAAGTTCTTGGAGTGTTCCGACTGGATCCCGACCCAACGTTTCGAAGTGGTTCAGAAAAACAAGGTCAGAGGTTGCGATAGTGCTACATCCAACTTGATCAACCAGACCGCGGTGATCACCGAGAAGTTGGAGCTCACCTCTACGGACTTGAACGTGGCGGTTCTGCACGAGCTCCGCACCAGAGGAGGCGATCGCCCGCTACGAGGATGGGTCCTTGACGAGCGGAAGGCCTATCGGCAGCTTCCGATCTTGCCGGAGCACAGGAAGTTCAGTGTGATCTGCCTGAAGGATCCTGGTGATGGCATTCCCAAGTTCTTTGTGATGATCGGACACTCCTTTGGTCTCGTGGCGGCGGTCTACAACTATAATCGCCGCTCGGCCCTGATCAACGATATTCTCGTCCGGCTGTTCAGCATGGTCGCCTTCAACTTTTACGACGACAAGTACGGGTTCGAGACCGATCTCACGGCGCCTTCGGCTAAGGTCGTGGCCGAGTGCATCCACTTCTGGCTCGGCGCTCTCTTCGACGAGAAGAAGCTCCAGCTCTCGGCGGCGCCTGTGATCTTGGGCGTGACTTTTAACCTTGAGCTCTTAGTTCTTGAGATCAAGGAGCAGAGGAAGCAAGAGCTCCTGGACTCGATCGACGCGATCTTGGAGGCGGGCACCTTGGATCCTGGGACCGCAGGCAAGCTCAAGGGCAAGCTCATGTTCGGAGCGAGCCAGCTCTGGGGGAAGGTTGGACGTGCGTTCTTCCGGCCCCTCTCGGAGCGCCAGTACTCGAAGGACAGGTCTAGCGATCGTATGGAGCTCAACCTGGCTCTAGAACGATCGCTCCGTTACTGGCGGAACCTCATCGTTCACGGCCCTCCGCGTGAGATCTCACTCCGCTCGGAGAAGAATGCCGATGTTGTGATCTTCACAGACGGCTTCACTCCAGACTTTCGGAAGTCGGAAGAAAGAGCCGATCGGATCGGAGCTGTGATGTTCGATCGGAGGGCCGATGCTCCCAAGCAGTTCACTGAGGTGATCCCACTCGAAGTATCGGACCGATGGCTCGCGAGGAAGACCCAGATCGTCCCGATCGAGATGATCGCGCCGATTCTGGCGCTCGAGACTTTCCGGGATCACGTGAAGAATAAGGACGTTCTCCTTCTGATTGACTCTGAGGCGGTCGAGGCTGCTCTAGTGAAAGGATACTCTTCAAAGGAAGATCTCTGTGAGCTCGTTGAAGTTTTCTGGGAATTGGCTCTTGAATATAGGGTCAACTTCTTTATCGATCGAGTTTCTACAGATGCCAACCCCGCAGACTGGCCATCGAGGGATCGCCTCGAGATTGGCCAAGCTGCTGGGTGGTCGACAGTTTTGTGCTCATGGCCAGCGAAGCTCCGCTAAAAGATCGATGCAGGGCCTGGGAGGTTGCTCGTATTTCGAACGAAGGGAATTTGTTCGAGATGCTCTCGCGTCTGGTGTCCCGGGAAGGGTTCGCCGGTTGCGGGTTCGAGCGACTGCGACGACGACGACTCCGTTCGTGGGTTGTCGTTGTCCTGGGGTGGGGGCCGGTCGTTTCTGATGCTCTTCGGTAGTTCTTCTTGTGACCGCTCAACCCCATGCTAGAGCGGATTAAACATTGCTCGTCCGCTCGGTGTGTGGCATGCTGTTCAGTGAGCTTGCGAGCGTTCGTGCGTGTAGTGTGGTTCTCCTATTATCGGCTAGGTAGGTCTGGAATAGGAGGGTCACACTACAGCATGAGATCAGCATGCTCTTTTGACTTTTGATCACCACGTTGATCCGTGGCCATTTTGGGTCGAGACGATCGTCTCGATCCGCGAAGGATCTTTTTGTCCCACCCAACCCGCCCTTTTTTTTGATGAGGTGGGAGGTTGCTCGTATTTCGAACGAAGGGAATTTGTTCGAGATGCTCTCGCGTCTGGTGTCCCGGGAAGGGTTCGCCGGTTGCGGGTTCGAGCGACTGCGACGACGACGACTCCGTTCGTGGGTTGTCGTTGTCCTGGGGTGGGGGCCGGTCGTTTCTGATGCTCTTCGGTAGTTCTTCTTGTGACCGCTCAACCCCATGCTAGAGCGGATTAAACATTGCTCGTCCGCTCGGTGTGTGGCATGCTGTTCAGTGAGCTTGCGAGCGTTCGTGCGTGTAGTGTGTAGGCAGTCTTTTTTGTGGCGGTTCTGTAGGCTCGGATCATCGATTTAGGGTTTAGGGTTTTCGGGTTCGGGGGATCTTGTCTAGATTTGTCCATGCTTTTCGGAGGCTCCGGTTTCGCACGCTTTCATGTGCTGGTTCATGTTAGACATGCTGTTGTTCTCGTTGTTTTCCGCACATGTTCAGGTCTTCTTGACTGTCTGTTTCTACATGCTTTTTAGCTTGCATTTTTCTTTGTGTGCCGTGCCGCGCTCACTCGTAGAACGGGATGCCTCCACAGAGCTCTGACTGCAGAATGGATGCGAGCCCCGACACTCCCAAAGTCACACGTCGGCTTGAGTGGGCTTCTCGAAGAGAGGCGGTGCTGAGAAGCTCCAGATGGCCGACAAGCAGCCACCAAGCACTCGGCCGTTGGTCTTGTCCATGTGCCCCAACTGCATCCAAGCAACTGTGTGTCTGAACCGGGCTTCAAAGATGAGGGTGCGCATGATCCAATCACAAGCCTAGTAGTGGACATGTGCTCGTCCGAAAGATGGCCCAGTTCTTCGTGCAGCTGTTACTACAGTAACCGTAACTATGAGGTTTAGAGGCCGGGTTTACGTGTGATTTTTCGAGTCCGGTAAGACTTGTGAGGCTCAGGGATTCAAGGATGTTCGACAATCCTGTTTCTGTCTTCATGATGATAACCTGGTCCCTTTCACTCCCTCTTGATGGAAATGCTACTGTAGTCTGGAAGCTGAACTCGTTGAGTGGTGCAAAGGTTCAATGCGGAGGGGATTCCACTGGTGGCCGCTTCACTTCCAGAGCCGGTGCTGCTGACACTCGCGCAGCCTGCCTGCAATAGGGAATGTACTTGAGGTCCAACGACATATTGCGGATCGCTTTTGCTTCTTTCTTAGGTGTGCGTGAAGGGCTCGCCAGGTGAATCCGCATTGGCTCATTTCGGATCCGTTCTGGGCAGTGGCAATGCAATTGCAACCAAACCCGCACACAAGCCAGCAACAGCACAAAGACAGGTCACATCGAATTGAAGCGGACATCAGGCACGAGCCAATGCAGATCCACAACTAAATGACCAGCATCTCCAAGTGTCATCCTGAATTAGATTCAAGTTGCACCCAGGGCAAAAGCAAGGCTCGTGGTGAAGCACATTCTATTCCCCTTTTGTGGCTTCTGTACTTCTAGTTTTTGCCATCACATTATAGTGCCATTTTGTGGCTCTTGTACTTCTAATTTTATGCCATTGCAGTGCACGATGCGAGGCTAAAGCCAGCAAGGAAAATTCAGACGGCAAGCTCAGAATCTGCTGACAACCTTTGGTAAAGATACCCTAAAGCCTAAACCCTGAACCCTAGGGAATAAGGTTGGTAAATATACAGGCTTCCATCGCAAGCTACGCATTCTCTTAGTCCCCCGGGCAAGGTACACGGAGTGTTGGAAGCTTGCGGCTTGTTGTTGGAGCCACGAAAGCATTTGCCCATGCTTCTGTAAAAGTACTAATCGGAGCATGACCGTATCACGGATGACAGTTTCCAGGCATGCACCCCAAGTAGAATACGAGTACATACCCCAGCGTGCTGCCAGCTACGGATGCCCGCCCCGGAAATCCTAGGCCCATCAGACCCTATGCCCGCGCTTACCGAGTCCGGATGCATCCGACGACACAACCTGTGTTTTCTGGAATGAGACCGTGCAGCGGTGGTCTGCTGAAGGTGTTACCCGCGTACAGGGCAGAGGCGGAAGTTCTACCAAGGAAGTCTCCAAGCTAGGGTTCAGGGTTTCAGGTTTAGGGTTTAGTGTCGTCCTTCTTTCTGGAGGGGGGGAGGGCATGTGAGTGGAAGAGATGTTTAAAAGATTCGCAATGTTTGCCCAGTGTGACAGTCGCCCAAGCAGCATCGTTTTAAGCGTAGATAGGGCCGGGCAATGGGCCGGGCAAGGAAGGTTTGAGTTACTCGTAAAGGGTTAAACGGTTTAGGGTTTAGAGTTAGTGCTCACAACAGATTTGCTTCACCGAGGGTTGCATCCCAAGCATTCGTTTAGACCTGGCACAGGTCGGGAGCTTGTTTGTGAAACGACGCACCTCTCCATTTTTGCTGCAGCTTGGATGAAACGGCCTGCATCAACGAATGGGAATGTGTTCATTTTGATTTCGATGTGTAGGGTTACGACACATTCACGTGATCGCTGTTCTGCGAGAGACAGGCATCAGCCATGGCTAGCACAAGCACAGAGGTCAGACGTGACGAAACCTCGCTTTTCCACACGTTTGTGCGATAGCGTGCGTAGTTGTACGTGCACTTGCCTTGTGACCGAGGGCATCGAGGGGTTCCTGACCCAAGTGGCCCTGACCTTTCAGTGCAGCAACGCATTGTTCTTGTTCTCACGCAGCTGGGCTAGACAATTAGTTAGTGTACACCAACTGCAGGTTCCGGCGGTCGCGCTGGCTGAACATTGCCTTTGGCAGTTCCTTCAGAGTGTACAGTACCCCGAACTCTAGCGCTGCCATTTTTTGGAGAGTGTGGCAGAAGAGCTTTGGTGCAACTGTCGGGGGGAGGAGTTGCACAGGTGACTTGTCCTGCTGTCCTGGAATGCAGCCCTAGCTGCTAGCTACAGGGGATCTCTACTCGGGCTTTGCACCCGGGCCTCAACCACAAAGCGAGGGAGAACTAGCGAAAACTCCACATGCGGCACCAGTAAGTCTTGGCACACGGCAAGCTGCATCCCGCTGCGTTCCCGCATGTACGCAAGTGCGCCAGGGAGTCACGGCGTCTGTTTCCTTGTGTGATGCAGCCGCCGCAAAACTCACTGATAGTTGTGTGTCCGCTGCTTTCTGTTGCGGAGTCTCTGCACTCGGCCACTCATGCATTCCAAGCCCCAAAGCACAAAGCACTTTCCTGCACTGTGAGGGAGCTTGCAAGGTGAAGCAGCTGCTTCTTTGGGCACGGGGGACTGGGCGATGCAAGTGCCAAGCATTATTTTCTTCTCCATCTTGGCCTTGCTCCTTTCAGGCCCGCGGGCGGGCGGGGCGGGCTGGTTGAAGCTTGACTTTTTCCATCCAAACTCTGTTTTCGCTGAGCTCCACGCTGCTGCTAGTTGCTCTTCGGGCTTCAAACAGGCTATGCAGAATCGGGATTCCAAGTTGTTGAGCCCTTTCTTCTCTACCCTGAGTGCAAGCAACCAAAACACTCTTCCCCCAGCACATGTATTATAGAAGCTAGACATAGTTAGACGCCACATAGAAAGACTGGTTTTGGTTGACTTGCTCTACACTTACAGCTGTACCTTCGTCAGCATGTTAAAGCAAAGCTTGTGCCCTTGGCTGCCAAATTAGTGCGTGTTCGTCTGTCCTTTCTGCAGTCCTCGTTCTGACAGCTCTGCTAATTTGCGGTGTCATCTCATGTCTATAACTACCTGGGAGCCTTGAAAGCTGAAAGCCTCCCCCTCGTGGTCCCATGGTTTGGGCAGGATGGACCTGGGCAGTTATTCGGGATGTACCTAGACCTTCTGCAGATCCTATCGACATTCCTTGCATGCCGGACATATCAGCTCCCAAGTTTGCGACGATCGTTTGCATCTTCGGGAGGCGTAATGTTTGCCTTGTTCCTGGACTACCGCAGCTGGCAACGACATTGTGCCTCTCACGAGCTGCAGGAGTCCGGCAGACAGCAGTCTGCTTGACATGTATTGCGAGGCTTAAGTTCGGGTCGCTCATTGCAAACATTACATAAGTGTTGCCAGGTGATATCCGAACGCCTCGCAGATAGTTCTGACTCCTAGAATATGTAATTCCCCCGAGAAGCAGACATGCATTATGCTAGGAGCTTCAAAAAGGAGCCAAGAGTTAGTGAACGAGTCCGTTTAGACTGCAAGAGCATTTCAGACGGGAACGTTGGGCCTTTGAAGCTGGGCACCCAAAGGCCCACCAAGTGACTGAAGTGGTTGCGTTTCGTGAGAAAGCTGGACTGTTCTTTTCAAGGTTCGATCCCTGCTCAGTAAAGTTGTACGTCGGTGAGCCTGGCAAGTGCATTCAGTGGCTGCATGCAGGATGAGCTCCATCGGGGTGTAACCAAGAAGAACACGTATTCGGCCACCTCGGCTGCATCGACTATGGGGTTGAGGTGCTTGTGGGACATAATCTGGCTGATGTTTTTTGCTAAGACGCTAAGACGGCCAAGCATGTGCAACTAGGTCTTTGCGATCATTCTATTGCTTACCTGATCCTTCGGCTGAAGTTGGAGTTGAGGCCGCTTGCCAGGCTAGCCAACACTTACTACCTTGTGGTGTGGATTTTGTTGGGTGGGTTTGGGGGTTCGGACTAGGATTTAAGAGGCGGGGATTGAACGGTGGCTGCAAACCTCCATCTCAAGGGTGTTTGACAAGCAGTCCATGTGGTCTGAGGTTGTTTGTTAGCTGTCTCCTCCACTCTGGTTTGGAAGCTGGCTTTGGGGTTTGAACATTGGGATCAGAACTCAAGGAGGTTCAAGTTCGGACGCGGTCATGGAGTACATAGGTCAGAGGTTCGCAGTCGCAGCGTCCAATAGATTGGCTTCAGGCCTCGGTTGGTGTGGTCTTCATCTACGAGGAAGTGGTGCACTGCTCAGCAAGACGTCTCGCATGTAGCAATTACCAGTACGTAGACGAGGGCTATTTTGCAGCAGCCGGAATTGGTGCTCAAACCCTGTCTTTGGCGTCTTTCTGCAGTGTGCTGTACTCACAGATCTGGTTCTAATGGCTCATGAAGCTTATTTTCGTAGGTATTAACACAACGTTACTCCGCAATCCTGCATGTGACAACCTCACCGATCATTGCCCTGTCGACACATCCCGACGTGCTGAGTCCGGATTGTCTTCTGTGTGTCTCGGTGTGCTTGATCCGGCACTATTGCGGCCCTTTGATCGTTCTTGCTATGCATGCTTTCCATGTAGAAGCATACGCATTTGAAAGAAGCTAGGTGAAGGCACCCTGCGAAAGGTTGTGTGTGAAATCAAGCTACACGCATCGGAAAAAAAGCCTCCCTGCACTGTTTGCGCAGACAGAGTTGCTGTTCTTGGTAGGGGTTCCGTCCGTCCTATGTGCATCCTTCCAGCAACCTGGGGGCACCGTGCCAGCAACCCCTGAACATCATATGACAATAACAATAACAATATTGGTAGCAATGACAGCAGCAAGAAGGCTTCAACGGAAACGCTAGTACAAACAGCAATTAAAAGCATAATCGATTGTTAGTCATGTTGCCAGTAACGTCAGCATTTACATTAACAAAGCAGCAAGCAACATTAACAATAGCAGTCGCGATAACACTAGCAACAGCAATACCAATGCAATCATGTTTATAGCAATAATGATGGTGGTGGTAACAATGATAATAATCTCTCTCTCAGCGTCGCACAGAAGTGTCAAACTCCTTGGACGAGCGGGGGGCTCTTGCCCCGAGGTGGCTGCTGTGAGCACTTACCGTCGGCCTGCACTCCCGCGCTGTGTTCTAAACACAGCCTGTACGAGCACAGCCTCAAAAATACCAAAGCCCCAGCCGAGCACGAAGCTCAACAGCCAGAAGCCCGGTGTACGAGGACCTACCGTCTTTCTTGGTGTCAAAACTATGCGCGATATTCACGCGTGTTTCTGCTTTCAAGCACTTTCCGCCAATGCATCTAGCAAGGCTTGCATCTCCCGTTCATTGCCCGATCTTGGTGCCACTCCCCGCTTGAGTTGAGCACCATGTCGCTGCAGACCTTTAACGACCACCTCAAGGATGTCTTCAACTTGATTGTGGACACATAAGGTCAAACGCATACGCTTCGGATCATAGCACTTGCGACATTTGGTCACCATGATAAGGGGCTCAAGCGTCTTCACACTGTCAGCAGAAAGCAGATGTGCCGTCAACTTTTGCTTGTCTTCTGCACCCAATTGGCTGGACCCCGACACTTCATGCACCATGGCGGCCCATGCATGGACATGCGGCTCTCCGAGCGCTTCGCACTCCTGCAGTTTACCTGCTTTGCGCAATTCTGATGCTTTGGTGTTGTGTTCCTGCGTAGCGGCCGTCATGGCGGCTACCACGGAAGTATCATTGGGAATCAACAATGTCGTTAACACTGCACTCTGTAACTCCCGGATGTCGGCACAACTTTTGAGCACCGTCTTGGCCAACAGGATTGTGAGTTTCTTCTGATTGTCGGCAATGATAGCACTTGGTGGTGGATCCACTCGCTGTCTGCGAGTAGGCGGACCACCACTCTGACCCCCAGTGCCTAGCAACCAAGAAGGTGCTGCCATAGCGATGCCGGTCGTAAGATTTCTATGCGTCACCTTGAGCGGGCAGTGCTTGTCGTGCCTGAAATGCGGCGGGGCTGTCATGATGTGAAATATGATGCAACAGCGCATCCAATGAATCGCATGTTTCCTCACACAACGGACACGCCAGGGACTTTGGAGCATGGACTGCTGGGTTAAAGGCCGATCCCTTTCCCAAACAATATCCTCTGTTAAATGACTCTTTGATGTGTTTCTTGGCGCTTTCGCGCGAAGCATAACGGTTTCGGCACCACGGGCATACATTCGACACGGCAGCAAGATCTTGAACCAGCCTAGAACAACCGTGTTCACCATCTTTGGTGTGTACCATGTGCAGTCGCAGTTGTCTGTACGTCGAAAACTGTTTGAAGCAAACTGATCCGTCCGAGCATTTTTTGTCACATGTAAATACCACAGTGTCATCATCAGGTAATAGAATAATATCAGCAGGATCAGCGGGCGGTTCCACCCATCCCGGCGTGGGGATCTCTCGTCCCAGAAACCTCGCCCGAAGCTCCGAAACATCAATACGTAGAAAATCCTCTCGAAACTCTGTGAACAATAACAATACTCGCCCACGCAGCAGTGACACCATGTATGCAGCAGAATCCAGAACAGCCAATTCGTCAATGTCCTGTGCAAACTGCTGTAACCACGGATTTGCTTGTCTAGTGGGTTTTCCCTCCATGTCCAATGAAGATGTTTGTTCCCAGCCGAAATCACCGAATAGGCATGCCAACAACACTGTGTGTAGCTCTCTGTACATGGCGACGTTCTGCCAAAATTTAAGACGACGTACCCTAAGCTCAATATGTGTTGGCACCGATTGCAAAAAACGCCAGACTTCGACATTGGAAACCGCCTTGTACTTGATGCCATCATCTGTTGAAGTCTTCTCACACGCTGCTCCATGCATGAGTTGCCTCCCACGCTTAATGACATACTTGTCCAACTGTGCCAAATGCGATTTGTTGAGACAGAGAGCTTCAAGGCCAGATAACAATGCACTGTAAACCAAACCCTTAAACACAAGAACCAATGCGGTGCGAAACAACCCTTGTCTGAACCAGAATTTGCCCATGGAAAACCATCCAACATCGGCACTGCGGATTCGTTGTAATACTTCGGGAGAATCATTGCCAGCCAATGGCGTGGTGTAGAACCCCCAAGTACTTAGCCATACGACAAGTGTTCCCTGG